TATATATATATATATATATATATAAACAAAACTATATATATAAACAAAACTCAAAAAAATTTATTTGACTTTTTTTGTGGAGCAAAACGTTCAATTTATTGAAAGACACGGATCATTCGGCGTTGGTTCCTTGGTCTGCCGTCTAACCTAGCTATGTCTTCTTCCTCTCTCCCTCAAAAAGATTTTCCACAATTTTTTTGTAAGGCTCGACCATGAAGCTGCGGCTCATCTAGGTCTGGAACCACTGGCAATCAAACCTACTGTCTTTTTTCGTCATCCATTGTCAATCTTCACAAGCAACCCTAATCCCTTCCCTCTTCCTCCCTGTCCTCGTACCCGCAAGCTCAGATCCCGACGAGTTTTTGTTCCTTACTTTTACCGTGCATTTGCACCATTTTAGCTTGGGGTTCCGCTATCATATTTTTGGTTCTATTCTTCCATCGAACGATCGACGCCAGAATTGTACGAGCCTGTTTTTTAGCCGTATTGCTTGTGTTGCCCGCGTGATTCTCGTTTCACACGAGCGATCTTGGTGTGATGGGGAAAGGCGGGCAGGATCGTGGGCGTGGAGCCGGTGCAAAACCTAATTCGTCGTCGCCTTCATCCTCTTTTCCAGCTTGGGCCAGGACGGTTGCCGAGTGTGAGGCCGAATTCGGAGTTTCTGCTGACGTTGGACTAACCTCGGTAGAGGTTTCTCGGCGGCTGGAGGTATACGGCTTGAACGATCTCGAGAATCACTCCGGGCCATCAATCTGGCAATTGGTGCTGGAGCAGTTCAACGACACACTCGTACGGATCCTTCTTGTTGCCGCGGTTGTCTCCTTCGTTCTGGCATGGTATGATGGCGACGAGGGCGGCGAGATGGGGATCACGGCATTTGTGGAGCCGCTGGTGATCTTCTTGATTCTGATAGTAAACGCAGTAGTAGGGGTCTGGCAGGAGAATAACGCTGAGAAGGCGCTGGAGGCGCTGAAGGAAATACAGTCGGAGCATGCTGCTGTGAAAAGGGATGGGGAGCTCATACCTAGCTTGCCAGCTAAAGAGCTTGTTCCGGGTGATATAGTTGAGCTTAGGGTTGGGGATAAGGTCCCTGCAGATATGAGGGTGCTGCACTTGATAAGCTCAACTCTTAGAGTAGAGCAGGGGTCTCTTACTGGAGAGAGCGCAGCTGTGAATAAGACCAATCACAAGATTGATTCGGAAGATACTGATATACAAAGCAAAGTGTGCATGGTTTTTGCAGGAACCACTGTGGTTAATGGGAGCTGTGTGTGCTTGGTCACGCAGACTGGTATGAACACGGAAATTGGTAAGATCCACTCCCAAATTCACGAGGCTTCTCAATGTGAGGAAGATACACCTTTGAAGAAAAAACTGAATGAGTTTGGCGAGGTTCTTACAGCTTTAATTGGTGTGATCTGTGCGCTTGTGTGGCTCATCAATGTAAAGTATTTCTTAACCTGGGAATATGTCAATGGATGGCCGAGAAATTTCAAGTTCTCCTTCGAGAAGTGTACCTATTACTTTGAGATTGCGGTTGCATTAGCTGTGGCTGCAATTCCTGAGGGTCTTCCGGCCGTGATTACAACTTGTTTGGCATTGGGTACCAGGAAAATGGCCGCAAAGAATGCGCTTGTAAGGAAGCTTCCTAGTGTTGAGACTTTGGGATGTACGACTGTAATTTGTTCTGATAAAACTGGCACACTGACAACGAACCAGATGTCGGCGGCAAAACTCGTGGCAATCGGGCGGTCGACTGATAGTTTGAGAAGCTTTAAGGTAGATGGAACTACTTATGATCCTAATGATGGGAGGATTCATGATTGGCCTGCTGGTCAGTTGGATCAAAATCTGCAGATGATTGCAAAGATTTCCGCAGTTTGTAACGATGCTAGCATCAGTCGTTCTGGACAACATTTTGTTTCTACTGGAGGGCCTACTGAGGCAGCTTTAAAGGTACTTAGCCATCATGTCTTCTGTGATTTTTGTGCACTTTTTATTTAATGAATTTGAAGGAATGTTTCTTCTGATTTAAGAAGTCCCTTTATGGTAGCAAAGCGGATACTTTTTGCTGATAATTTTATCATCTTGGCTCTTAAATAACATAGATTATTATTTGATGAGCTATTTCTATCGTTGCATTCTAAAATAGTTTAAAGTAGTTGCAGTGTAGTAACTGCTGAATTTACTTATGCAGGTTTTAGTTGAAAAAATGGGACTTCCTGCTCGGTTTGATGCTTCATCTATAGGTTCTACTAATACATTGAGTATGTCATTTATTTTATTTTACCTATTTTTATTGCATATATCATTATATATGAATTCATAATACTTTTTGTTGTTTATAATTGAAGGATGCTGCCAGTGGTGGAATGATTTATCTCCTAGGGTTGCAACGCTTGAGTTTGATCGTACTAGAAAGTCCATGGGAGTCATTGTGAGATCAAAAACCAAAAGCAATGCCTTACTTGTGAAGGTGAGATTTTTTCTCGCCTCCTTAATGAGATTTTATTACACGATTTTGCATTCAATTTACACCTTTTATTTACATTAATGTTTTGGATTGCAAAGGTGCAGTATGAAATTTTTGTAGGTGGGAATTTGTAATTGCGCACATAAGAGATGAGATTAATCTTCCCTAGATGATAATTGTTGCACGTGGCTTTACAAACTTTGTGTGACTACGAAATGTAACTTTGGGTAATAGGTCATATGTACCTTTCTGTTTATGCCTCAGTTCTTTTTATTAATAATCAAGCACGCAGTATCAATATTATAACTAGCTGATCTTATTAAATGTGATTATATGGCATAGCTACCTTTCATGCCTGTCAAACCATACCATTATTACAAATTTGAGCTATTTACATGCGTAGCAACAATTCATATCTAACACATATCTCACACCTAAACTTTCGTATTTATGTAGATAGCGCTTTCGTGCTTTAAACATGTGCATGAAAGGTGTATTTCACTTATAAAAAAGTGTTAATTATGCTATTTTTGATGTGAGATTAAAGATTTGAGTGCTGTGTGTGTAAATATGAAAGTTTAGATGTGAGATATGTGTATACATAAGAAGTGTGTGCTATGTAGGTAAATATCTCTACAAATTTTACTGCTAACAACCAGTCCTACCTTGCACATGTTTCTGCTTTATAATCTGGTAAAGCTTGGATGAGTTGTTGATTCGATCAACTGACTATTGTCAAAGTGAGTTGATTCAAGCATTGTCAAAGAGAGGCCCATTGTACTGTTTTAAGTTTAACCTGATTGAATTCATCTAACCTCGTTAATTGATTATGATAGGCAAAAAGTTTGAAGGTATGCACGACGTCGTAGGATCTAAAATTGCCAATGCAATTAAATGATGTAATGAATAAAAATCACACTGAGGATTGGAAGTTGTAGATTCAAAAATCACTATTTAAAATGAGAACTCATCCTCTTTTAATTTTAAACAAAAAATATGAGAAATATACATAAAACAATAATTTAAGGATAACTTATTCAAAGAAATTTATCAAGAATTTAAATCATCCAAACCCTATATGATTGACACTACAAAAGAAAGTCTAGTTGTAAGGGATTTGACTATCAAAATTATACAACAACAATATCAACCCTTTATCCCACCTAGTGGGGACGTCTACTTGAATCCATCTTCTCCATTGCATTCTATTGAATGTTATATTTTCATTTAATTATAATAAATTAAGATCTTTTTTTTTATACAATATACCCGTCTTTTTAGTTCTACCTCTGCCTTTCTTAACATAAGTTCAATCTAAATCATCTACATTCCTAACCGGATCATCAGATGGTCAACGTTTAATGTGAGCAAACCATCTAAGACGACTCTTTCTAATTTTGTCCACCACAAAAGCTATATCAACCCTATCACAGATATAATCATTTTGCAGTTCGTCTTTAAGTGTAAAGCTAGTAATCAACCTAGGCATTCTCATCTCGACAACACTTAATTTTATGCTTCTCTTTTAAAGCCAACATTCTGTGCCATAGAGCACTGCAGGTCTCACCACCATCTTATAAAATTTTTCTTTCAGTCTATGCAGTACTTTTCTATCACACAATAGGCCAGAAGCATTCCTCCACTTCAACCAAACTTGAATTCTACTAATAACATCCCCGAGATATTTAAAGCGTTCACACATTTTAATTGTTTGATCACTCATAGTTACAACTCTGCCACTAGAACTATTACTACAAAAATTACATTCCATGTATTCAGTTTTAGTTCTACTCAAGCGAAAGCCTTTAGACTCCAATATAGACCTCCATAATTCAAGTTTTTCCTGAGCTATTTCTCTACTTTTATCCACATGAAGGATATCATCAGCGAAAAACAACAATATTATATTCGGTGACTGCCCTTTTATTTTATAGATTAAAATAGAATGAAGAGATCAGGAAAAAAAAGTTTTAGGCCTCAAGCCAGTACAAGGAGATGACTGCCCTTTGATTATTATAATTGTACTTGCACTGCACTTAAAAAATGTAGCATCCAACAAGCACATAAGAATGCATCAAATAAGAAGAACATGCAAGATAGATGGGAAAAAAGTTGTCCAAATACATGCCTTGTTGTTTGTTTTTTATGGTCATTTAATTTTTTTTCATCAATAGTCATACAAAAATTATCCAATTACTGAAAAAAAAATATCGGAAGGACCAATGAACTAGCACAATCAATGGATAAGGATGATGTGTAGATAAAGAGAAATAATATGCTTTCAAGTCATTGATAAGAAATCAACAACAAGAATAATAGTAATGGAAATGCCAGACTTGCCTTACCATCACAATTACAATGCAGAGTTTGCTTTGGTACAACAACAATTCTGTAGATTTTATGTTGCTGTAGTAGCTGATTTCTGTAGCAAGCAGTCGTAAGTTTTGGAGTAGAAGTTCCATTTGAATCTACTTAGCTTTAAAAAATTAAGCTCTAGCAAATTGTTTAATTGATGTTTGCCAAGTAGTTTTGGGCATAAATGTTGCATTCATTGTAAAGATGTTCTTGAATCATCACATAAATGTCTGTCACACCAGTCCACATTATATTGGAATCAATTATTAATAGCGTAGATAATTTTATCATATAGTATAGCTTAGAGTAAGAGTGGTTGAATGTTATAGCAAAATGTTAATCGTAAATTTAAATAAAGGAGATGGAATAAAAGGAGAATTCATTGTTACAAGGCTCATAAAATATTGCTAAATCATATATATGGAAGTTTGTACTCGTACTAGAATATTTTGAATTCATAATTTAGAGATATTTGCCTGAATGCACGGAATGATTTTAAATGGTCGTCTTTCTTACATTTAATATCTTAAAGTTAGATTCAAATGCACAATTACTTTATCAATTAGTTTTCTTGTCGCATCTATCCTATTTGTATTAGTAGTCGACTTTTCTTTTCCATAGTGACAATCACTATTCAATCATTTATGACATTTTATTGAAAAATAATACGAGTGCTTGTTATGATATGGGGACAGTTGTAGCTAATGAATATATATATATTTATTAGTAGATAGTACTAAAGATATATAATGAGTTCATCGAAGATATGATGATAAAGAAAAAAATTAGGAACAGACAAACCACATTAATACAAGATGTCTATAAAAAAAAATTAACCCAATTGGCTTACCAATTATTTTTAATAGATTATGTACTTCTAAAATTGATTAGATAAATGGAATTTTAAATTTCAAGTTTTTTAGTAGTTCATCATTAGCAAGTTTTCTAAAATTTTCTAATGTGTCATTCTAAATGTCTCGATATGTTTTTTTTAATGGATTGATTTATAAGAAACTCATGAACTAAATACAAATCAATAAAATTTTGATCGTTTGTTATCATATTTGCTTGATTGGTACATCAACTGAGATACAATATGATTGGTTCAGTTTTAACATTCAAGCATAGGTTCAATTTCTATTTGAAGCAATTGTTTGGATATGATCTCATGCTTAATTTTACTTTGAAACACTTATTTAAATCATATCTCTCATCTAATACATCCTCAAAAGATTATAAACTTTTTCTCTTATATGATCGGATTTATACATACATGATTTTTGTGTATGTGTATATATGTTAGACTTTAGTGGAGAGTGAATTGATTTTCTTATAAATAATTGTAATATTCTTCTGTATCGAAAGATACAAAGTCTTCGGTAATGTTCTTGGGAAATTATAGAGTAATTCTTCTTAAATTTTTCTACTAAGACCTTTAATGAAAAAATGATGCTAGCATAATAGTAGTCTAGTTGCTACTAATATTTAGCTACAATATATGTAAATCTTGCATTATTTTCACTTTTCATAGTCACCTAATTTACAGTTTTAAATAATGCTGTTGATCTGTATAATCATCAAATGATTTATATTATTCACTAAGCTTATGCTTTATATCAGCAATGTTGACTTGGCATCAACGTTCTGCTAAGGCAATTGCTTTCCGTTGAATGTAGAATATCATTTAGAATCTTATAATGTAATTCAACTATTTAGGATTCAGACTAACTGTAATTTTTAAAAGATATTTGAAAGTATCAATCCAGTTTGAGAATTTATTAAAATCATTTCCTGTCATCAAATATAGGAATATAATTCAGAAAGTCATATTAGTCTTGGTATCATTGTATTTACCTTGAACCGTAACTTACTCAATTTTATATAAATTGCATCATTTATTATTATTTTGATTTACCGCACTTGTAATGCCATTTTTTTATTGACATGATAATGTAACCTTAAGCCATGATACTAATTTAATGCAAGATGTGCTTTGGTTTAGGGCTTTAATGCAATTAAATAATGCAATGAATGAATTGAAATTTCACAAATTTGAATACTAAAAATGAACATGAGAACTAATTATCTTTTGTTATAAGCCCACAAATTGGAGAATCTCACGCCAAACAATAATTTAATGATCTCCGAGATCAGAGAAATTCATTGAGGAATTGAAACCCTTGTATTTATCATATACTCCATCTACGTTCTTCCATAGCAATGATTTAATTTTTTACCTGATAATATGATTTTAAATGGGCTATTTTTATTTGGAGGTTACTGTTTTTTCTTCTAATTTTGAGCATTCCAATAATTGTTCTTTGATGTGTACTATCCTCCGAAATTTGATCACTAGCTAAGTGATATTTTTGGAAATTTAAATCAGGTGTTAACATGCTTGATTGATCGATTTTTCATCATATTTTTGTTTTGTTTTGTAATAAGCGAATCATTCATCTATCATGCTATATCCTCCTATAAATTTTAATAAACAGAGACCATATTGACAGGGGGCTGTGGAGAATTTACTGGAGAGAAGTGTATCTGTGCAACTGCAGGATGGTTCTGTTGTAGAACTGGATGAGCGCACTAAAGGTCTAATTTTGAAATACCTTCATGAAGCGACATCTAGTGCACTGCGATGTCTCGGTTTTGCATATAAGGAAGAGCTTGAGGAATTCAGCACTTACGATGGTGAAGATCATCCTGCTCATAAGCTTCTGCTTGATCCATCTAACTATTCATCAATTGAGAGTGATTTGATTTTTGTTGGATTTGTTGGACTTAGGGTGAGTTTAGATGCTTTTTAAATTCCAAGTGCCAAAATAATCCCCTTACTTATTTGTGATCATTTTAGTCCCAGTGTTGATAAAAGTAGAAAATTAATCCCAGATTCTTTATTTTGGGGCTGAAATAGTCCCAATTTGGGGCTGAAATAGTCCTCCGTGGGAACTATTTCAACCCATATTAAAACAATTCTAGAGCTAAAATAACCCCCTGCAGAGTCAGTGGACTATTTTGTCACTTCTCTTTTAACTTCCAGTTAATGGCATGCTAGTTCATCCACTTATATTCTTCTTCAATTCAATTTCTAACATTTTTGTTTCTCAATTTTAAAATGCTGTAGGATCCTCCCCGTGCAGAAGTGCACAAAGCAATTGAGGATTGCAGAGCAGCAGGATGGTAATAACTGGAGATAACAAGGAGACAGCAGAAGCAATTTGCCGAGAAATTGGTGTATTTGGTCCATATGAAAACATCAACTTAAAAAGCTTTACGGGAAAAAATTTTATGTCTTTACCTAATAAAAATGAAATATTAAGACAGAAAGGTGGACTTCTCGTTTCTAGAGCAGAACCAAAAGACAAGCAGGAAATTGTTAGATTGCTCAAAGAAGATGGAGAGGTGGTTGCAATGACTGGTGATGGTGTCAATGATGCTCCGGCTTTGAAAATGGCTGACATTGGTATTGCTATGGGTATTGCAGGAACAGAGGTATTTGTTCTTCCTTTAAATCTGTGTTTTGGGTCACAACATCAAACAAGTATTTGGCGTATTTGGCTCTTATGGTATCTAAAGTCTCTCAAAATTTTTCTCTATAACTTTTGAGTTAGTTTGCAGGTGTTAAATTTGAAGTTTATAGCCACTTATCAACTAGTTTATTTGATTCTGACTAGCTTTATGTCTTTATATTTCACACTTCTATACCCTTCCCTATTATTAATATGTTTACCACTATTCTTAATGGTTCAAGTTTGGACTTGGTTTTTCCAAAAAAATATGTGAGGTTTGCAGGAATTGAACACCACATAGATTGGCACACATTATTTTATTTATAGATTAGTTTTTGGAATTTTTGTCCTGATCACCCAATTATATGAGACACTAAGAGGGGATTTGGGCTAAGGCCATGCTTATTGAAACTGATTTATAAAGTCATACTAAAATTTTGTTGGCTTTACCATTTTGAACACAGAATTGAAAAGAATCCACTTTGTTGTGATCGTAATATTGTGTATCAATTATTCCTTGACTCCTTGTTTTCATGAGCATTGTTAGATATTGTTGAACTATATCGACTATATCCATGTGCTGAAATATACAAATCAGGCACACATGTATACATGTCATGGCATGTATGACTGTCAACCATATGCTAGTATTTCTACTTTTGGCCATCTTTTGGTGGATTAAAATATGTTGGTATCTAATCATAGCCTCTTAAAGGTGTTCTTTTGTTTGTTGTAGTTTTAGTTTGGTCCGAAAAAGATGTGCAGTATGGAGTTAAGTTCATGCTTAAGACAGTATTTTTGCTACTTAAGTGTATTTATTATTCGATATCTCCAGGTTGCTAAGGAAGCCTCTGACATGGTTCTGGCCGATGACAATTTCAGCACAATAGTTGCTGCAGTTGGCGAGGGAAGATCTATATACAACAATATGAAGGCCTTTATAAGGTTTCTCCTTCCTGGATAGCCTTCATTTGAAATTTTTACTACAAGTCTACATCTCTTTTGTGTATTGTTGTAAACCATTTTGATAGTATGGCATTGCATGGACTTCTACAGTTTTAAATTTTATCCTGGCAGATGATCTTTGCTGTAATTTTATTCTCTATAATTTTCTTAGCATCAAGTTTTTAATAAATAATTATGTCGTGATTCTTGCTAGAGCTTTGATTGCTATTGCTTAGTATTGCAAAGGAATAAATATTAGTGAAGATTCTTAAAATTTGTAAATCTAATATTTGTCCTAAATATTTAGAAAATTTTGAAAGCTTTCCAAGAAGCGTTCTAACTAGTAACACGTAGTTCTTTTCTTAACCTTCATAGTGCATCATCTTAATTGCTTTAAAAATTTTACGCATATTAGAATTTTGTCACAGGTTTGTGCTGTGTACATTTATGATTGCTGAAATTGATTTGCAAAAAGCTGAGTCCAATTGCATACCTAAATTTGGGCCAGGGGGTTATTTACCTTAGACTCCTTTGGTTGTTTGTGGATGAAAAATATGCTTTATAAAGCAAGGATTTTTTCTCTCGTTTTGAGATTGAACTCACTTTTGTGAGGATTTGAGGAGGTTTATCTAGTTTGAAATTGCTTTTAATGCCTAGCTACATTCGATCAAATGTTGAAAGAACAAACTTTATGGTTCTTCAATATGATTCTTACATCAAGGAGACAAATAAACCTCTTAACCTTTTCAGATTCATTTGGCATATCAATTTCTACATCTATAGCAATCGTCTTTAAGCTTCTATTCTAGTAACTTGATGGCCTGTTATTTTAAGAGTTGACCCACCCCCTTTGCATTATTTGGAAAAAAAACCTTTTTAAAGTTATGTTGGACTATTTCATCCCTTATTGGGACTAAATTTTCACTAAAGACTCAAACTAAAATGCCCCCTTGCTTATAGTCAAGGGATTATTTTGACACTTTTCTCATTTAATTTGCTTTTATGTTCCTATGTAAGGTACATGATCTCCTCCAACATTGGTGAAGTTGCATCCATATTTCTGACAGCAGCGTTAGGTATTCCTGAGGGGTTGATACCCGTTCAGCTGTTATGGGTCAATTTAGTCACAGATGGTCCTCCTGCAACTGCTTTGGGATTTAATCCCCCAGATAAAGATATCATGAAGAAACCACCTAGGAAAAGTGATGACTCTTTAATCAGTGCCTGGATCTTGTTTCGTTATCTGGTAAATATATTCCTAGTTATTGTAGCCAAAATTTATTTTCTTTTTCAGCATCATCTACATGGGAAATTTATTTACATACCACAATTCTTATGTATTTACATATCTAAAGCTTAAAATTTGATTTTTACATTTATAACACCTAGATGTGTTGTTTTTCACTTTTACAAATATTGTGATGGTGGTAGTTTTGATGTGATGTTATGATTTTGAGTTTTATACATGTAAATATAAAGGATGAGGTATTAGATATGTAAATACATGAGAATTATTTGGTATTGTTTGTAAATGCTTACTTTTGATGATTAAGCTATCATGCAGCATCAGTTCACCCTTTTAATGAATCCAGGCTTAGCCTATTATGTCAAGTTTCTTTCTTCAAGATGATTGTTTAAAATTCTTCACAACTTGACTTTTTTAGGTCATTGGGTTTTATGTTGGGATTGCTACTGTTGGAGTTTTCATCATATGGTACACTCATGGATCCTTCTTAGGCATCGATTTGAGTGGTGATGGGCACACTCTTGTCACCTACTCCCAACTGTCGGACTGGGGCCACTGCCCCTCATGGCAGGGCTTCAAAGTGACCCCATTCACTGCTGGAAATCGTAAATTCTCCTTCGATTCAAATCCGTGCGATTATTTCCAGATGGGCAAAATCAAGGCAATGACTCTCTCGCTTTCTGTGTTGGTCGCCATTGAGATGTTCAATTCGCTCAACGCTCTGTCGGAAGACGCGAGCCTTATCCGTATGCCTCCGTGGGTCAATCCATGGCTTCTCGTTGCCATGTCGGTGTCCTTCGCCCTTCACTTTATGATCTTGTATGTGCCATTTCTAGCTCAAGTTTTTGGGATTGTTCCCCTCAGCTTCAACGAGTGGCTTCTCGTTCTAGCGGTAGCCTTCCCAGTTATCCTTATTGACGAGGTGCTCAAATTTGTGGGGCGGTGCACGAGTTCTTTGGGTGCTGAGAGAGCCATAAAGAAACATAAGGGCGATTAGCTGAATAAAGGAGGCGATTTCCTCCTTTCATTATCGACCAACCTGCTGCCTTTGTTCTGTTCTTTTCTGAATCAGGAGCAGGTATGAGACTTATTCTATTTGATATCAAGAAGAATCTGAAAATTGAACTAGCATTCCTTAATGAATTCCAGTTTTATTGATAAATTATAGACTCGATGACTTTGGACGCTTTAGTTTTAATAATTGTTGTAGGAGATGATTTTGGTTCTAATTGATAGTTTAGCTTTGCTGCTTGTATGAAACTGGAGGACTCTACTGATATGTCTCTGCTGTTGAAAGCTGTATGCGGCATCATCTCTAAACTATTTATATCCAGCTTAGGTTTATTATTAGGAATATGTGTTTTTTTTTCCTTCTTTGACAATTGTTTCTTTTATTCGGAATTCTAAAATTGATTTAGGGACGCATTTCATGGAATTTGCGAATTCTCTGTAACATCACAGTTAATGCTGCTACACGATTATTTAATTCTGCTTTGTTTTATAACCTATTTTTTCTTTATCATTTAATTCGCACCCCTTATTCTGCAAACTTTGAAGTGTTATTTGAATATATTTTTATTTGTTGCATCAGGTTTTGAATTAAGTTTTATTTCTGCTCTTACATTTGTTTAAATGCATTATTGTGTTTTGAATTCTTTGGTCCAGCAGTCAAAATTCTTCAGTTAGTCTAAAATATATCTAGGTTGGGTTGAAGTGTGATATGCTTAGGAGGGGTTGAATTTGTTCTTTTTTACAAAATATTTGGGTGTGCAAAAATTAATTTAATGCAGTATTTAAGAGTTTTGCAAGTAAATAAAATTTGTCATACTTGTGCCCCAACAGAACATTTATTCCAAACTATTTGTTACGAGCATTTATTTTAAAAATCACACAATTCATATTTATGTACATTTCTAACACCAAAATTTTATTAGTAAGTTTCAAGTCATTTAATTGTTATAAACCTATGCAAGGAAGTTTATATTTTATTTTAAAAAATTAATAATAATAATATTTTTAATATTATGTTAAAATTGAAATGTTAGATATATAAATGCAAAAGAATTATGTAATATATATTTTATATAAATATGCATACATAAATTTGTAAAAGTTGTATAAATTCTTATTGTAATAATCTTAAAATCCACCTTTTCTAACAAAATCTTTATTTTTAGTAAATTTGTTCCTAGATCCACTAAGCTGATCAATTTTTAATGAGTAAGATTTGTGAAAGAGTTGGTAGAAAATAAAATTAATGCTTTTCGTAATTTCTTTGAGGATGTAATAGTTAATCAACTTTTAAGGTGCAAGGTGGGTGGAGGAGGTGGTAAAAACTCTTATTTTAAATTAATAAACATTTACAAAGTCTTTTTTTTATGGTGTTTATCCGTCTCATCAATTTCTCTACAAATTTTGTTTTTTAATTAATATGAATTGTTGAGCCATGTCTCTCCTACCTCCTTGATTCTATGAGACTGAGGGCTTAAGTAACTTTTCTACCTCTACACATCATACATCTTCTATTCTTGGCAGTTCTCACGCCATGAACTGAAAGAGTCTTATTTTCTCTCAAACGTAAGAATCCACACCTTTTAATCTTCATATGTTCCATCCCAAGAAAACTACGTCACCTTCTCTGAAGAAGAGGTTGATGAAGGCTCAAAGCAATGAAACCTAGCTTTGGTAGGATACACCCTCAGTAAAAGACCATTTTATGGTTACATGATTCAATCTATTAATAAACTATGGAATTTTCCAGGTAATGTTGATCGCTCTTGCAGATGATTTTTTTTTCTCTTTAAAATCAACCATGCTGAGGGTTTAAAATGGTTTTGAATGGTGAAAAGAGTCATAATAACTTTCGTAAGAGAAAAATTTTAAAATTTCTAGAAAATTGTAATCCCTTTTACCATTAACCCCCTTATTGTGAAAAGAGTCATAATAACTTTCGTAAGAGTTAATAGACAAAATTCAATTAATTCAAAACTTCAAGATTCCATAACTATCTTAGTTATCGGGGAAGAAGTACATCAAATTGTTATTTATGAATGGAGGCATTCACCATGTAAAGCTTGCCAAACATTTGCACAGGAATCTGCATCCTGCCCTATATCTGCAACTCATAGACCACTACTTAATGTTGTTCTTCGTGCCGGAAGTCGAGGTAAAGCTGGACCTCTCATTCCCACACCTAAGAAGATCAATAAGCCCAACCTTACATTTACATTGCCTGACATTGCTTCCACAGCTCCAAATCTAAATATCCATATAGTTTTGCTAGTAAATAACATTGAATCCATAAATGAATCTCGTACAAGAATCTTGGAAGACCCTTCCAGCTCAATAGTTAATTAAAATAGCTATCCTCCCAAGCTCCAAATCCTACTTTATTTCTTCTATCTACCTCTAACTAATGACATTGGCTAATCACCCTAAACCTTAACCCTTTGATCCCTCATCACAAAATTTGACCAATGCCAATCCCAAGAAGGGCAAAACCAAGGAATGTTTTTCTCAGTTCTTTTTAGACCTTGAAGTCGCCAGCTTGTTTATTTATGCATCATTGTATAATTTCCATATTCGAATAAATCTCTCTCCCAAATCATATAAATGATTCAAAGAGGAAAGGAATCAAATAGCGAAAGAACATACGATAACAAATAAACAAAATGATTAAAAAGAAAAGAGATGCAAGGCTTATATATGGTTAATCATCGTGGACGGGTCGAGAGTATACATCCAAACAAGATAAGATCAAAATACCTCAAAATACGACATCCACGAAAAGAATCCTAGTATAAGCCACCTATAACTAGTGAATCAAAAAGAATTTTTTTGTTCTGGGGTCAAGAGTCTATGGGAGAGACGTATCCCTACTGGTTAATTATATATTGAGGAATACCCATGAATACTCTTGATAAATGGTTTCTCTTTTATTATCATGATTCTGGGGAAATAGGTTCGCAAAGGGTGGTTCTTTCGTATGGGAAAGTCCCGATTCTTCAAAGCTCGCGCTAAGCCATCGGGCATGGAGTGAATCTCACACATCCCAAATGGGTAGCAACTACTCGACATACTGAACTTAAGAAATAACCATAATAATTTTGATGGGGATATCCCTATGCATCAAAGCACGTCAAGGTCGTAAGAGCATAGGACAAATCGTCGTATTCTAAATGGGCGACAACTTATCAGCATTGAGCCGTCAAAAAGACATCAACGAAGTCAAATGAACAAATAGGGCTCAACAGAGTCAAATTTGGGGAGGAGTGGTCCTAAAAGGTAGAGGTAGCAAGGTCGGGGTACTATGGACCCGTCATCCCAAGCCACTAGAACCCTAAGTCTACCTTGTCGTGAAGGTAGCGAGCCAACATGACTAGAATCTTTTACTCCTAAAATTTTGATTATCTAAATATTTATTATTATGATTTCTAAAATAGAAAGAATTATAATTTAGGGTCCTTAATGAGTCTAGATTATATTTTTTTCGTGAGATCCCATCTACATAGAAATAAAAAATAAAAAGCAATCAAGCATGCAAGCACTAAAAACAAAAAAAGAGAAACCACTCCAAATATATAAATAAAAGAGTCCAAAATGTCACTAGATTAATAACATATCCCATGATACATGCCCAATCCTAAGTCTAAACAAAAATGTAAAATTTGGACTTAAGGTATAGGACATGAGCTGCTATTCCTGGTCCTCATCATGTGGTTCGATTCATCACCCTCCTCAAAACCCTTGTTGATGCGGGCCGATCTACTGTGTTAATTTTACAATTATTTTTCAATATTACAAAATACACATGACAGATATAATAATAAATATGCAATGTAATCACAACAAAAGTAACATTAATAGTGTATCTTTAAAACTCTTTTAAACTGCTAAATCCCATTTTAAAAATAGCACAAGTATACATATAACTCAAGTAATAAAGGGCTCTAATGGAGTCCTAGATATCGATCCCACAAAGAAGTTGGAAATGCCTGTAAATAGTTCTTAAGATTATAATTATAATTAAACTAAAAAAAGTAAAGTGCAAAGTTTGAATATTAACTACTAAAGTGAATGCTATTTAAAATGCACTTGAAAGACAAAGTTAACTAACCCAGAAACTAAACTTTCAAAAGTAAAATTACGAAAACTAAATGAAATTCTTGTTGACGGAAAGTTCAAATTTAAGAAAACATCATTCCCCTTACAATGAGCATATGGATTGTAAAGAATATAAAATCATTTGAAAATATATATAAAAACTATTTTTTGTCAAATAGAAGCAATCCTATTCGTTACCCTCTTCCGAGTGCTATAAAGAA